CCAAGCTATTATTAGAATGATTAAAAAGTATAATATCACTTCATAGTCTTGAAATATTATTTGCCTCCACATGAAAGGGGAACCATCTACCTCCATTTGACTTGTACTTACTGTAGATGAGTTATTTCCATAATGAGTTATCTTCCATCCCAAATCTCCACCACCACTTACCAAGTAGGCTATTGTTCACTACTCGTAAGTTTCTTATTCCTAGCCCACCATGCGTTTTATCCTTGGTTAAATCCTTCAATTTCACTAAGTGAACTTTCCTTTTCACAGCAGAATCTTTCCACAAGAATGTTGCTTGGATCTTGTCAATCTCTTTTGCCACACTTCAAGGCAACATAAACAGAGACATATAATATATAGGTAATGAAGATATGATAGATTTGATTAGTGTTACTCTGCTAGCGAATGACAGCAATCTTCTTTTCCAACCTGTTAGTTTTTTCTTAAATTTCTCCACCACAGGCTTCCATGTTGCTATCCTTGATTGGTTGGCCTCTAATGGCATTCCAAGATACTTCAATAGGAGCTTTTGGTAGGTACAATTCAGTCTTGAAGCAAAATTTTCCAGAATATCATCAGAGATCCCTACTCCACATACAACACTCTTGTGAAAGTTTATCCTCAATCCAGATATGATTTCAAAGCATCTCAGTATTCTCTGCACATTTAACACTTTAGTCCACTCAGCTTCACAGAAGATAATTGTGTCATCCGTAAACTGAATATGAGAAATGTTGATGTTATTGGACCCAATGATTACCCCTTTGACCAAACCCAACTCTTTTGCTCTTGCAAGTAATAAGTTTAAACCCTCAGCTACCACATTAAATAGGAAAGGTGATAATGGACCACCTTACCTAAGCCCTTTTTGAGGACAAAGTTCAGGTGTGGGTGAGCCATTTACTAACACCGAGACTTTTACTGAAGAAATGCAGGTCCGAATTCAGTTCACCCACTTAGCACCAAACCCAAAATTTGATAGCATTTGGAATAGAAAGTTCCAATTAATTGTGTCATACGCGTTTTGGAAATCCAACTTCAATATCAGGCCCTTTCTTCTATATTTCTTCCACCAATCCACCACCTCATTGGCTATCAGTACACCATCCAAAATATTGTTACCCCCAAGAAATGCAGATTGAGCTTTGTCGATAGCAATGGGAAGTACTCTTTTCAATCCATTGGCAAGAACCTTGGATAGAATTTTGTAAGTGGAGTTTATAAGACTAATAGGCCTGAAGTCCTAAATACCTGAAGGGTTATCCTTTTTAGGGACCAATGTGATGAAGGAACTATTTAAGCCACTAACCAATCTGCTGTTAACATAGAATTCCTTCAAAAAATTAAGTATATCTCCTTTCATAAAGCTTCACTCTTTTTGGTAGCAAGTCATGTTAAAGCTGTCAGGCCTAAGTGCGATCACATTTTGTAATTGCAGCCCAAATTTCGCTTCAGAAAAATCCACTTCCATACTGTTGAAAAATTGGCTCTGTTCAATCACTTTAAATAGGCCTAGTAACTTAGGCCTACACCTCCTTTGTTCATTAAAACTGGTCCTGAAGTGATCATACATAGCTTGTTTCACCTCTACAGGTTCCTTCACTGATGCCCCATTCACTATCATAGAGTCAATTGCATTGGTGTTATGTCTCTTTGTAGCTATGATGTGAAAAAATTTAATATTTTTTTTTATCTCCCTTTAGATTCCAATTCAACCTTTATTTTTGTAGCCGAACTTCCACACATCTCTCCTCACCTCTCTTCTTCTCTGACCTTCAACCTCATCCAGATCTCTATTCTCAGAAATTAGATCTAGGGCATGTAGACTCTCTTCAGCTTGTTTCAGTTTAAAATCCATATTCCCAAACACTTCAATATTCTATTTCTTTAAAGCTTGTTTAAGTGCCATCAATTTGATTTTCAGTTTGTACCCTGCCCAACCTACTACTTAAGTGCCCTCCCACACTTTTTTAACTTCCTTTAGAAAAGAGGGGTGAGATGCCCAAACATTGATGAATCTAAAGGGCTTTGGGCCCTAATTTCTCTCATCTTCCATTAGAATAATTGGGCAGTGATTTGATGTGGATCTAGGCAGACCCCAGAGTTTGTATCTAAACCATTCCAACCATTCTGGGCCAACAAGGAACCTATCTAATCTACTCCATCTCTCTCCTTCCATTGAATTACACCATGTATATTTCCTTCCCAACATAGGTATATCAATCAATTCAAGGCTACTAATAAAATTAGCAAAATTTGCCATATCCCTATCCCTTCTTACACAACCTTTCCTTTCATCAAGTGATTTTATTTCATTAAAATCCCCTCCCACACACCAAGGTTTGGGAAAGACAGCCTCAAGATTGATCAAAGATGCCCATAAACTTCTCTTACCAATCACATCATTGGATGCATAGACATTCACAATCACACACTTCAAACTATTAAATAAGGTAACTGATAATATGATGAAGCTCCTATTGCAGCAGCAATCAACTAAGGAGAAGACTTCAAGCTTCCAAATACATAACAGGCCTCCAACACTCCCTTCAGCATCCACATTCATGAAGCCAACTAGGTCGTGAGGCCAGATAGATTTCACAAACTGGTCTGAAATATTTATCTTTTTTGTTTCTTGCAACAGCACCATGTCCACTTTTCTTTCTTTGATAACTTCTTTAACTTTCCTCCTTTTTTCAGGCCTGCCAAACCTTCTAATATTCCAAGAAAGAATATTTATAAAAACTTACTTTGTACTCTAGAGCCTCCCTTGATGCTATTCTAATCACCTGTATCATTGTACCTTTCGGCAGCTTGTTCCTTGTCATTCTCATGCATTTCCATGATTTTCTCCATTGCTTCATCTTCTTTGCCTTCAAAATCTATTCCCAAATCTTTCCCAATCTGAATAGTAGCTTGAGCCTGCTTAATTAAGTTGTTATTTCTGCTTGATCTACTATTTTGGGACAGCGATGAAGAGATAGCAACTGCAGTTGCTCTAAAAATGGCCCATCTTTGAAACCCAGTATTCATCACTATTTTCCTCTGGTTGTTCTTTTTTCCCCCCTACTCTCCTTGTCTTTTACTGTCTTCCAGGGATCATTATCTTGATTGCTTTGACTTTCCTCTTCATTTCTAACAATACCAATGCCCTTATCTTGTTCCACTTGGGCTTCAAGTTGTGTTGAATCAGTGATCTCAGTAATCCTGTTATGTAAATCCACACAATTGTTATTGCTATAGGCCAGCCCGGCTAATTTGGGTATGCCCCAATTCAGGCCATTCAAAAATCCATCAAAATGGGCTTGATCCAATACTACTTCTAAGTTAATGTTGGGCTTTGGTGATCCATTTGCACTTAAGCTTCTCATAAGGCCCTCAGAACCCAAAACCCCATCACCTTTTCTACTTTCTCTATTAGAACTCTGGCTAAGATTTCCTTGCATACTTCCTTCAGTCCTTGTGCATTGTCTGTTTCCTAAACTCAAATTTTTTAGCATGCTTCTGTTCCCTACAATACTGCATGTCTCACTGATAGTTGAGATAGACAAATAATCATTAACTTTGCCTTCCACACCCGCCACCTTGTAGATTTTTTTCTTTTCATTATGACCTGCATCATCATGGTTTGCCAACAAATCATTTGTGCATGCCACATCATCCCCATCTTCCTCAATTCCTTTGTGATTCTTCGAGCTTTGATCACCATTGATAATGCCATTACCAGATTTAATGGTTCTTTGGGTGCTTTGACAAGAGCCCTGAACTTTATTGTTAAGTTCAACATCTTCACACACCCTAACTGGGTATAAACATCCTCTAAATTCCAAATTTATAACACAATTAATAACCTCCAACTGTGTTGTAAGGATTCGCATTTTACCCAATTTCAGAGATGTTAGATCAGATATGTTCTCATCTGTTTCCACCACTTCACCCCAAATCTCACCAATCTTTAAAAAGGTTTGTTTGTTCCAAAGATTAGAAAAGACTCTAGAACAGACATATCTTTTAAGCTCAATGATCATCCCTTTTTTCCTATTCCATAATCGATTCACACCATTCATGGATCCACCCATGAATATCTTTCATGTTGTTCCTCCTTGCATCTGGTGAAGAGAATGTTAAGTACACTATTCTCCCACCCCCATCCTTCAACTGCACATTTTTCAATCCTCTAATTAGTAGCTCCTCCTTGAGTTCCCCACTATAGTACTTCAGCTAAAGTTTTGCCACTATAGTCGTATACAACCATCCATTTCCATACTCCTCTGCTTTCAGAACTATTGCCTTTTCTTTTGGTTCATTCCCTCCTTTGAGTGCTTCTACATACGACACTTCCCTTACTTTGCTTGCAACAGCTGTTATCCTTACATTGCTTGCATCAATTGTTATTCTTCCACTCACTGCTCATTGTGGCACTTGAAAATGAGTGTGGACTCTTTCTTTGGCTTTATCTTGCTCCCTACCAAACTCAGCTTTCTTCACCTTTAGCTCTTTATCATCACACTAAGTACTGTTAGCTTTTGGATGGCCACCTAGCTGCTACTGGGCAATCGTATCGTACAAATCCAAACTTTGTCCCTATCGTCTTCCTCTTTTTGCTTGGTATAAAGACATCCTTTACTATTCTGAAGTTTGTAAATAGATGGAATAGTTGTTTTGGATGCATTGAGTCTAGTAAATTATCTACGTACAAACACAGTATATATACCTCATCTTGATCTCAGTTCACTATTGCCATGTCTTTTCTTGAACACAGGTCTTCAGCCTCCTTGCTCTGTTCCATTCCAGTCCATTTTTTCCCAACCCACCACTACAGACATAGATACCTTGCAATGAATAGTGTAGAAGATTTGGTTTTCCACATTAGAGTAACCAACACTTACAGCTTCAACTCCTTCGTCCTTGAGAACACTCAAAACTTCATGTAACTTCAAGTTTTTGTTCAACCCAGTAATCAAATTCACCTCCAAAATAGAATCCATCTCTCATATCGTCAAAACCGGTAACCTCTCATCTTGAGAACCACCCTTATTATTGCCTTCGAGCTCTGCCTTCCTTTGCTTCAACTCCTCCACATTCTGTTTCAGCTCCACCACATAGTTGGTGGCTTGCTCTAACATGTCACGCAGCTGCAATAATTCTTGAAAAAATACCCCATTTATTCATTCTGATATTATTATGTTACATTATAGTAATTTAATTACGAACTACCAACTCTTCATCTAAAAGCTTAACTATTAAGGTGAGAGAGACATTTATTATTTATATTATATTTTTAATATAATTTAAATAAATATTAGATATGAAATTGACTTTATTGAAAGTCCAAGTAAAGAAAGAAAGGTAGAGTGGACTTCTAGTTATGCTTGGATTTGCATGGCTGTGTTCCCTTTGACTCAGTTTGCCTTTATTTTCATGTCAAGTGTGTAGAAGTATAGTTTACTAGGATTTTTTACTTGGCAGTATCACCGATTAATAAAAAATATTGGATCACATTTGTTTGAACTAACAAGAGAGAGGGATGTTCATCGACTCTTATTTACTAGTTTTTATTAGCTAATAATATTACATATAATGGGTTCACTAGTCATCATTATTTATTTGTATTACCATCCATTAATAATTCACCACATAAGATGGTAAATTTTACTACTCAGATATAATTATCAACACAATATAATATTGGGTAATGTTATGCAAACAGAATTTTCATAAATTATATATAAAAAAAAATCTATATAGAATGACATAGTCTTTCTTTAGCCTATCGTTTCAAGTCAAAAAAATTGATAGTGTTTGGTGCACTAGAATGGAATAGAATGGAATAGTCAATCCATCCAAATATCCATTTTAATGTTTGATTGTCTAAAAAATTAATGAAAAATACATTGCAAATGGAATCCTTATTCATTATTTTAAGTGAATGATAATTTCATTGTAAATATAAACATATATGTAGCCATAATAATAATGCGGGATTGAACCTTGTAGGATCTTGAATTTAATACATCTCAAGAATAAAACAATCATACATTTGTCAGTCATTAAATTAAAGAAGATGAGAAAATACCCCTAATAGTTGAACTTTGAATTCTTGGCTCACCTTCTTTTCTATGTCTCTCATAATTAGGATGATTATAAGATTTAGAGTGATGGAAAAATACTACCATTATGAAAAGGGAGTCACCCATCCTTATATAGAGGAGAGAAGAGGGCCAGATAAATTCTATCAGAAGAATTCCTGTCCATTAAGGTTTTCTTCTTATCTTTAGAAGAGTAATTATCACATATTTAAAATTCTAATTACTGAACTTTATCTCAAATATTGACTTTATTTAATTGTAGAGTCCAAATAAAATAAAACATGTAAAAGATATGTAGGTTATTGAGTCACACAGAAAATTAATCTAACATTCTCCCACTTGGCCCATTAAGCCTATTATGATGCAACAATGAGTTTTTTCAAATTATGCAATTTATTAAAAAAAAAAAATTTGACTCATTGGATTCCACACTAAAAACTTTGACA